TCTTGATACTAAAGTAGAAGTAATTTTTTCAAAGATATCCTGTTGAACTCGGATAGATATTGTTATTTTTAATTTACACGTTGTAATTATTTATATGACTAAAATGTAATTTGTATTGTTTCACATTTTGCTTTGATTTCGGATGTGATTACGATAGAAATTGTACTATGAATAATAAGAAAATCTTACTTTTATGTCCTTAACATGGTGGATATATTGTTTCCTTAGTGTGCAATCATTGATTATTCTCCTCGATGTTATCTTGGGGAACCTTCTTCAAAGATGCTATGGACTTTGTTTACCCTTATGTATATGAATTTTAGTCCTAGTAAAAAATTGCTTAAGTCGGCTCTGTGGCTAAGTCGATGCGAACGCTTCGTAATGCCGGGGTCAATCCCAGCTGCAGGCCATGCGCCTTGCGTTGGTTTCGACAGTGATATCAGTGGGCCGATCGTCTAGAAAGCAATGACAAACTACTGGACGTAAATTTGCCTAGAGAAACCACACAACAGACAAGGGCTGTTGGGGTTGGTTCTGCAACGTCCTGTAAAGGATTCGCAACTAACCTCTAAAAAATTGCTTGACCTTGCCACGAGGCTGTCTGTGGCTGTTTATGTGCAGCAAGTTTTTCATCGTCATAGGTAATTTACAGGGATTCACGTAGTCAGTTAATTAAAATCTAAATCTGGGCGATAGACCAACCAGGCAGATCTCAGATAAACAGTTCAACCTCCAAAGAAGTCCTAGTTACAGCACCTGTAACCGCTACCCCAACTAGGTGTAATTTGCAGTCCTAAGCAGGTAAGGACGGTCCATCCAGCCAGCTTATGTATCGAAGTCTTCTTGGCCTCCCTCGACTCCTCTTCCCGTCCACCGAATTTGATTCATGCATTTTCTTGCTGTGCCATTATGTGTCACATAGAGCTCCCAGTTTTTGTCCATTCCACTCTATCATGTGCAATCACTGCTATATCATGGATGAAATCCAATCCAGCATCTTTGGCCCTTTCCATTAACGTTCGCCTGAGGGTTTCTCTTGGACGTCAATTCCTCTATTTCGTATTTCGGTGCCTGTTTTCTCTGTTCGTCTTATCTCAGAATGTGTCCAGCATAGCGCCGTTTGCTCTGCATTGTAGTGGTTGCCCAAACATGTCTTTTATTTCTTCACTTCTCTTTAATTCACACCATTTTATTTTCATCTTTCATATCTTCAGTCGTTCTCCAACTTTCACTTGTATTTTTTAAAACTGAAATAACAGTTAAATAGCAGTTGTGATAATCAAACAAATGTAACTTGGTTACCAAAAAGTTACTTATGTAAAAATAAAAATAAAATCCTGGTAGAGAATCGAGGTCAGCGCCTCGTTGTGAGACCGGGGCCCGACTGCGCCTGCGCCAAGTCATCCGCAGACGAAACTTCACATTTGCTAGGAGAGACTTCCCTGGATGTTTATTTTGTTTTATTCTCCAACTTGTCGGCACAATGTCCATCTCCACACTCCAACTATGACATCCTAACGTTAGATATTTCTTCCTACGGTATGTTTGTCCCGGGTGTTTTTTTAATTGTGTGGTTAAATTTCCAGTTGGTGGCGGAGAATAAAGTAAAAAAAGAAGACGGGAGGGAGAGAGAGAGAGAAGTGGTACTGAGTTTACCATTGCTTGCATGGGAGCTTACTTTGGTGGTTATGCAAGGAGGATAGCTTCGATTAGTATTAATTTCCTGGTGAACGATGTAACGTTTTCGTTTGTTTTGTTCGTGGCGGGACAGTTATTCCTTGTATATAATTTAGAAGTTTTGTGTATGTTGCTAAGCTAAGCTTCAGATAATTAAAATCTGCATTTGTCAGGTGGAAGTATATCTGGATTTGTTGTTATCAGTTATCTATCAAACAGTGTAATCGTATCTACACAGATGAAATGAATGATGATGATGATCTCTTAACAAATTTATTATCTATCGCTTCTCAGTATTTTTGTATAAATCTGAACGAGGTAAAGACATTTAATTACTGTTTCCCCACGTGTATCTATTCATAATTATGTTTTCATTAATACGAAATGTTAAAAAAAAACAAAACCTTTTTTTTTAAAAACCAACCTGCAACCAGTCTTTTAAAGTAATGAATGGTCATCATTATGGTGTATATTTAATTTATTCTCAGCATTAAACAGTTCAGATTTCTGTATATGCTGACTTATCTTAAAATTAATGCCAGTGTTTGTTTCATTTTGTTTGTAATGAATATTTAATGAGTATAATATTAATATTGACAAACTAAAGTGTGTAATGTAATAGTAGATAGATAGTATATAATATTAATAATGAATGATGCCCAGAGGTGAATGGATGAATGAAAGGCTAGATGTCACTTTAAGATCTGTTCATTCTCTTAACTTGCTCAGACATGAATTTCAGTGAAGACAATTTAATATTCTCCTCCTCCTTGTTCTTCTATGTTCATCATTGGGAGGGAGAAGGTAGCTGGCCAAGTATCTATAAATAATAATGCAACACTTTCATGCGCAAGACTTGGGTTCAACCCTTGGTTATCACATGATGGTAGATCCTTTACAGAATGTCTTTCTCATCACAGCCTGCCTGAATCTGTGTTTCCTTGTAAAAGTACTAAAATCTATACAGTTGCATGCAGATTACAATTACCTTTTACAGTGGTGTACCAGTTTTAACTATCTCAATTCTAAGCTGAGGGTTTTTGTTTTGTGGAATTACAAAATTGAAAAACAGAAAGAAGGAAAGAAAGAAATTAAACATAAAGAAATGGGGCCCCTTTGAAGTTTTTTTTTCTTCAAAACTCATAATTCATTCATAACTCAGTGTTAAAAAAAATTTAATTATTTTTTTTTAAATGCTAAATAAATGCCTAGTTTTATTTGAAAAATAATTTTTGTTATTCATTAATTTTTGTTTAAATTGGATATCATAATTTTCCCTTTGAATAATTCTTTTGTTGTACCTTTACAGGAGGACAGAAAACCTCAATTTGTGATTAATTTTCTGTGCGGTGTTTCATCAAACCGGCAAACTGACGGACCAAGGAGATAACGAGAGTCCAGTAGCTGACAACTGGTGTTATACACAGGTGGGTTTTTAGAATTATGTCTGTGTGCCCCATTCTGTGGCAAAAAGAATTGAACCACTGCCTCCCTGACAAGCATGTTGTAAATGATTAAGAATCTTTTCTCCAACAATAACCAACAGGAACCAACAGTCTGCATACAAATAGGTTAGATCTGTAAAATGGAGGTGCATGCAAAACTCAAGTTCTGGAAAAAGAAGTTCAGAAGTGGTTGAACAACCAGAATTTTCTGCAGAAGTTTACAACTGGTGAACGTGAAGAAGGAGAAGAAGAAAAAAAAACTTTCACAATTATTGATTATTACTATGTTTAAATATGGGTGCTTTTTTAAACATATAATATGAAAGATTTTGTTGGATTATTTTTTAATTGTGTTGCACAGACAATTTGTTTAGAGGACCAATTTAATGTAATAGTGAAATTTCTTCTTCTTCTGCCTGTCCAACTCCCAATGGGGCATAGGCCCTCAACTAGCTCAAGCCAAGTCGTTCTTTTTGACTTTTCCATGCTTCCTTAGTTTTATTATGGCTTTTGTTTTTTACGGAATGAGGTAGCTAACCTCAAGCGCAACCCTACTCTGTCACCTCTTACGACATGCCTGCAGTGTTACCATACTTTGCTTCTCGTAAGGGACCCGGTTTTATTTATTTTTATATTTTTTAATTTTTTTTTAATCGTTTATTTTTTTTCTGTGAATAAGTAAAATAACAAGTAAAGGACCTTGGCTAGACCTATATTTTATAGACCAATCGGCACAAGATGGATGATGTGGTCAGCATCATGCCAGCCGCCTTTACTTTCTGAGACTGCACCTGGTAACCACTCAAGGCTGGGTCGACCTGAGAGCCAAGGTCATTTTTGAAAAAACTCCGGCTCCGCCAGGGAGCGAACCAATGACCTTACGATCCGCGGCGAGCGTCTAGCTGCTCTGCCATGGCAACTCCCTTTCTGTGAATATGTGGGTGGGTATCCCATGGAGTAGGTCATTGTTTCCAAACTTGTCATGTTGATGCACATTTTAAAACATAATTTTGTGGAATTCGGTCTACTGGCAAACCAAAGGTTCGACTAACCCTTTATGAGAAATACAGATACATCATTATCATCATTTAGCAGGTCCTTTGCAGAACGTCGCTCTCATCACAGTCTGCCTGAAAGAAACTCGGTCTCTCACCATCTCTCCCACATGTGCATTCATACCCAAGGAGTCACTTATATCCTGTACCCATCTTCATGTCGCTCTGCCCCTTTCCCTCCTTCCTGGTACCATTCCTTCTGCTATAATTGTTTTCAATCCGTCGTGGCGCTTGATATGACCAAAATATTTCAGATTCCGAGACAGGATGCTGTTTATTAGCCAATCTTCTTTGATGTTCAGATCTTTCAAGATGTCAGTATTTCTCCTCTTCTTTGTCCAAGATATTCTGAGAATATTTCTATAGCATTTCAGTTCGAAAGCCCCTATTCTCTTTCTTAATGAGAAAGATACGAATACATACATAACTTTAATAACAAACTATTTCGTGACACAAATTATCTCCTGAAAACCTTTCATTAATATTGAAGCATAAATATTTCCAAAATTAATGTTATTGTTATAAGTTATGAGTAACAATAATAAAACAAATTAGATGATTAACACTAGTTCTTGTGACACACCTTTGCACTACAGCTGACTAACTAATGTCTCAAGACACAGGTTGGAAAGCTCTGGTCGAAGTCTTACAAAGCTCTTATGATGGCCCTGCTAATGTACAGATTTGCCCATCTTTACTTTAAGGATACCTTAAACTTACTTTAAACTGCTTTCTAATATATATTGAATAATCTTTACAGGTAAAAGTGATCAAATTCTCTTATATATGGACCATCAATAACTTCAGTTTCTGCAGAGAGGAGATGGGTGAAGTCTTGAAGAGTTCTACATTTTCAGCTGGAGCCAATGACAAACTTAAGTGGTGAGTTTTCTGTTTTCCATGATTGGTGCAGACCAACACGATGATGTCATAATAACAGTTTAAAGATAGGTTTCACCCCTTCTCTGGAAAAAAAACAACAGATAACAGAGCACTGCTCCTTATTGGTGCATGTCAGAAGTGGATGGTCATCTTTAAACTGTCAGTTTAACGCTGCCGTGTTCATCTGCAACTGTAATGTCACGTGCTTAGCACTCTTGACATCTTTAACAACGATTTTGACAGGTTACAATACAATGGCATGGTTATTGTATTTTCTATCACACTTTTAAGATTTTCAAATATTCCATCAGTGCTTCCTTTTCTTCTTCTTCTTCTTCTTCTCCTCCTTCTCCATCAGCCTCCTGGGCTCTTGAAGTTCATTACTGCAGAAATCAGCTTCCTTCTGTTCATCTCTTTCCAGTTTTGCTTGGCTTGCTTTGTGAAACAAATGGTCATGTTCAACCAGCATCCCTTAAGGGGGAGCTTTACTTTATAATTGTGACTAGGTTATATGCGCCATATAAAATTGCTTAGCATTTTTCTCCACCCAAAGGACTCTCCCAATGTTGATGTGATCAAAGGAGACAGAGCATCTTCTTGGTCGTGGCCTGCTCCCCAGTCTGCTCCTTGTGTGCACAGTTTTTGTCTCTGTGTTATCTGCCATTCTCTGTGCTATCTGCCAGTCTCTATTAATTGCCATTCTCTGCGCTATCTGCCAGTCTCTCTGTTATCTGCCATTCTCTGTGCTATTCCAGTCTCTCTGTTATATGCCATTCTCTCTGTTGTCTGCCATTCTCTCTGTTATCTGTCAGTCTCTCTGTATCCGCCATTTTGTTATCTGCTATTCCAGTCTCTGTTGTCTGCCATTCTCTGTGCTGCCTCCATTCTCTCTGTTATCTGTCATTATCTATGTTATTCCAGTCTCTCTGTTATCTGCCATTCTCTGTGCTATTCCAGTCTCTCTGTTATCTGCCAGTCTCGCTATTATTTACCAGTCTCTCTATTAACTGCCATTCTCTCTGTTATCTGCCATTCTCTCTGTTATCTTCCATTCTTTCTGTAAGCTCCAGCCATTGCAGCCCCTAAAACTCATCCTTTGTGCTGGTGACTGCTAGCCGCTTTAGTAAGTAAACAAACACTAACAGAAGTAACTCAACGAAAGCAGCAGTATTCTTTTTCTTCTTCACTTCTTCTTTTACTACTTTGGGTGTCAAGGGAGGTATAAGGTTCTACTTCTTGCTCTTCTGACTGCCTCAACCATATACACGTTGTGCTTTTGTAGAGTTTCTCTGAAGTTATCTTTCCCTCCTGTTCTTGGTCAGCCTTGTGCTTTATGTCCTTCTGTTTTGGTGTATGTCTTGTATGGTGTCACAAGGCATTCTCTCTAAATAGGGAGACCATTTGATTCGCTTTCTTTGTATGCAGTTTAGAGTTGGTTCTATTTGTCTTTTTCTCTTATGGCCTTATTCTGGAAGCTACTGTGGTGTAGTGGCTAGACACTTGCCTGCCAGTCGGAAGGTCATGGTTTCAGATCCTGACGGAGCCAGACTTTTTTTTTTTCATTTGTGACCTTGGCTCCAAGGTCGACCCAGCCTTGAATGGTTAAAATATGGGGGCTGACTGCAGTCAGACTAATACTTCATGTTTGACAAAGGCTACTGGCCGAAACATTACGTTATTTGTGTTGTTTTGTGCACGTTTTTCTGCTTCCTCATTTGGTTAAGCTTTTTAGTGAAATTTCACTTGAATTCCTTGACTGGTTACCAGGTGGAATTCTGGGAAGTAAAGGTGACTGGCATGGTGTTGATCACAACACCCACCAAGTGCTGATTGGTCTATACAATATATAGGTCTAGCCCTATATGCCCAGTACGCCTGAAGGCTGTTTTACCTCATTCCTGGTTTTACTTTTTCTGGTCACCCCTGCAGCCCTCCTTAGACATGAAGCAGCAGTAATCGAAGTAATTGTCTTTAATTGACAGGTGTTTACGGGTGAACCCGTAGCCCTCCTTAGACATGAAGCAGCAGTAATCGAAGTATTTGTCTTTAATTGACAGGTGTTTACGGGTGAACCCGTAGCCCTCCTTAGACATGAAGCAGCAGTAATCGAAGTAATTGTCTTTAATTGACAGGTGTTTACGGGTGAACCCGTAGCCCTCCTTAGACATAAAGCAGCAGTAATCGAAGTAATTGTCTTTAATTGACAGGTGTTTACGGGTGAACCCGTAGCCCTCCTTAGACATGAAGCAGCAGTAATCGAAGTAATTGTCTTTAATTGACAGGTGTTTACGGGTGAACCCGTAGCCCTCCTTAGACATGAAGCAGCAGTAATCGAAGTAATTGTCTTTAATTGACAGGTGTTTACGGGTGAACCCGTAGCCCTCCTTAGACATAAAGCAGCAGTAATCGAAGTAATTGTCTTTAATTGACAGGTGTTTACGGGTGAACCTGTAGCCCTCCTTAGACATGAAGCAGCAGTAATCGAAGTAATTGTCTTTAATTGACAGGTGTTTACGGGTGAACCCGTAGCCCTCCTTAGACATGAAGCAGCAGTAATCGAAGTATTTGTCTTTAATGGACAGGTGTTTACGGGTGAACCCGTAGCCCTCCTTAGACATGAAGCAGCAGTAATCGAAGTAATTGTCTTTAACTGACAGGTGTTTACGGGTGAACCCGTAGCCCTCCTTAGACATAAAGCAGCAGTAATCGAAGTAATTGTCTTTAATTGACAGGTGTTTACGGGTGAACCGTAGCCCTCCTTAGACATGAAGCAGCAGTAATCGAAGTAATTGTCTTTAACTGACAGGTGTTTACGGGTGAACCCGTAGCCCTCCTTAGACATGAAGCAGCAGTAATCGAAGTAATTGTCTTTAACTGACAGGTGTTTACGGGTGAACCCGTAGCCCTCTTAGACATGAAGCAGCAGTAATCGAAGTAATTGTCTTTTAACTGACAGGTGTTTTTACGGGTGAACCCGTAGCCCTCCTTAGACATGAAGCAGCAGTAATCGAAGTAATTGTCTTTAACTGACAGGTGTTTACGGGTGAACCCGTAGCCCTCCTTAGACATGAAGCAGCAGTAATCGAAGTAATTGTCTTTAACTGACAGGTGTTTACGGGTGAACCCGTAGCCCTCCTTAGACATGAAGCAGCAGTAATCGAAGTATTTGTCTTTAATGGACAGGTGTTTTTGGGTGAACCCGTAGCCCTCCTTAGACATAAAGCAGCAGTAATCGAAGTGATTGTCTTTAACTGACAGGTGTTTACGGGTGAACCCGTAGCCCTCCTTAGACATAAAGCAGCAGTAATCGAAGTAATTGTCTTTAACTGACAGGTGTTTACGGGTGAACCCGAAGGGATTGGATGAAGAAAGCAAAGACTATTTATCTCTCTATCTTCTGCTGGTGTCCTGCAACAAAAGTGAAGTCAGAGCCAAGTTCAAATTTTCTATACTCAATGCAAAACGTGAAGAGACCAAAGCAATGGGTGAGTGCACAAAAGTAGGGAGAACAGTTTTATTTTACAGGCACTGTGTGTTCTCACCAGTCTCTCTGTTGTCTGCCATTCTCTCTGTTATCTGCCATTCTCTCTGTTATCTACCGGTTTCTCTGTTGTCTGCCATTCTCTCTCTGATAGATCTGCACATTCTCTCTGTTTAGACTGCACCCCAGAACACTCAGAAGACTTGTTATAAGTACTATTAGTCATCTCTGTTATCTGCCATTCGGAGTGCAATGATAACCCAACTATCTACCAGCCAGTCTCTCTGTTATCATCAGCCTTCCTTTGTGGGTTCAGTGAAGCCTTTATCTTCTTGATCACATCTCTGGCTCCACTTTCTGGATAGGTGAGTGCAATAACACACATCCCATTTTTTAATCTCGCACACATGGATGGCCTCACTTTCCACATGTACCTCATTTTAATTTCAGTCTTTAGATTTAGAAAGTCTACAAATTTCAATACCTTGGTTCCCAGGGTTGACCTACCTTGAGTGGGTACGAGGTACAGTCCTGGGAAGTAAAGGTGTCTGGCGTGATGCTGACTACATCACTAACCTAGTGCCGATCTATAAAATTTAAATCTAGGTATGGAAAGGGGTCCCTTACCTTTTACTAATTTTAATTAACGTATCCATTTTAGTTTCAGAAAGTGTACTCATTTCATTTCTAAATTTCTGGGGCTCCATTGTGGGGAAGAAAAGGAATAGTCTCACTGCCTCCCTAACAAGCATGTTGTAAGAGTAGATTAAAAAAAGGGGTTTCCTTTGAGTTCTCATTTGCATGAGAGGCAAGGAAGCAACATTCTGCATACAAATAAGCCAGATCTGTATTCGGATGTGCACACAACTCCCCCAAGTACTGGAACAAGACTAAATCTGGAGGTAGATGAACAACCAAAACTTTCTGCCAGAGTTTACAGCTGGTCACACAAAGAAGAAGAAGATTTCTAAACAATGGTTTCAAAAAGTGCTCACTTCAGTTAAGCCCCTTTACAGTTTTAGAAAGTCCTTTCAGAGTCTTTTGAATTAAAAATTGTTGGAAAACTTAGGATGAAGAAGAAGAAGACTGCTGACATTCTACACGATCTGAACATTGAAGTGAGCTGGCTCATAAACTGTGTATGAAACATCACATTGCATTAGACAGAACAGCAGACGTAAGTATCGTTTCTGAAAGACGGGATGGGATCAACCCAACATGGAGATGGACTCAAGGTATTGTCTTCTTCTGCGCTGATCTGAAGATGTAATTGCGTTGTGCCTGTTCACAGCATGGCTGTGGTATTTACTCCTTTTGACCGACACATCTGACTTCTGCAGGCATTTGTTGACCGGGTTAGCCTTCCCGGGGAGACAGGATATAAAATTGCTGACAGAAATCAACAGGAGACTAATAAAATATTTTAGTCTATATTTAAAGACATAACATTCTTTGAAAAATTATGCTGGAGAGAAATGTTAAAGACAAGTAAGCAAGGATCAGACAGCGATACATCTGGAAAGATAATAAGATCAAGAGATGGACAAACAGCACTCTGAGAGAGTGTACATCTATGATGAAATACAATGTGAGTTGGAGATTCATTCCTTCTTTTTTTAAACTAAATTATCAGATTGGTCCATTCAACAGGTAACATTTATTTGGACATTTCACATTCAGTTGAGCTTTGGTAGCGCAGCTACTAGATGCTTACCTGCGAACTTGAAGGTCTAGGGGTCGAATCCACATTGTGACAGATTATTTTGTGAATTCTTCTTCTTATCTATCTTCCTATCAGTGGTTTTCAGATGAGAAAGCCGTAGCCTCTATGAAGTTTCTAGGCGACATATGTCTTCCACTGTTCCATACAGCATAGTTTCCATTGGAATGCTAGCTGGCCAAAGCTGGGATCTCTCTACTGCATGTAGAAAGCCTGTCTGTAGCACTTGATCAGTATTTTGTGGTGCCTGTCTGTAGCACTTGATCATTATTCTGTGGTATCTGTCTGTAGCACTTGATCAGTATTCCGTGGTGCCTGTCTGTAGGACTTGATCAGTATTCTGTGGTGCCTGTCTGTAGCACTTGATCATTATTCTGTGGTGTCTGTCTGTAGGACTTGATCAGTATTCTGTGGTGCCTGTCTGTAGCACTTGATCAGTATTCTGTGGTGCCTGTCTGTAGCACTTGATCAGTATTCTGTGGTGCCTGTCTGTAGCACTTGATGAGTATTCTGTGGTGCCTGTCTGTAGCACTTGATGAGTATTCTGTGGCGCCTGTCTGTAGCACTTGATCAGTATTCTGTGGTGCCTGTCTGTAGCACTTGATCAGTATTCTGTGGTGCCTGTCCACATGGGCAAAGTTCTAAAACCCCAGTCTTGAATGTCTTGTACACATGGCTGCAGAGTCTGTTGTGTCCAGTATGCAGTCTAAATATAATTGTCCGGTTTCTTTCGTGTAAGGGGGTTAACTCTTTAAAACCTAGGGGGTTTAGCATCACAAGCCCAATGGGTGGTAAAGAGAGAACAAAATCGACACATCCGTTCATTGGGCTTCTAGGTAAGAACCTATGAATGTATGATGCGTTTCCTCGGACTCAAAGAGTTAAATTGGTCTTCAGGATTGTTTCCAGGATGGGAAGTGTTCCAGTGAATTCTAATGCCAGCTTTGATCTGATTGTTATTTTCTTAAGTGATTCTGGTATCTGGCTGTTCTGTATGACTTCTAGTTTTATAAATTAGTTTGGCTGCCAGGTAGACCCAGCCTCAAATGAGTATTATATCGTAGAAGTAAAGGTGGCTGGCGTGATTGATGTCGATCCCAGCATCCTTCAAGTACTGAGTCGCCTGTAACAGTATGTCTAGGACTTTACACCCGAGGGGAGCCACCGTAGTGAAGTGGCTAAACGCTCACCTGTAGATCCGAAGGTCCTGGGTTCAGATCCAAAACAGACCTGGACTCCCCCTTTAAAACGACTGTCTCCCAAATTGACCCAGCCTTGAATGGGCACCATGTAAAGTCCTGAGAAGTAAAGACAACCGGCGCGATGTTGACCATACCACCCACCAACTGCCAGTTGTCCATAAAATAAATGTCTAGCCTGATATGCCCAATACACCTGAAGGTGTGGAAAAGGGTGCTTCACTTGACTGTGAGCTTGACATGCCAGTGGCAGGAAAAGAGTACTCTACTTACACCTGTACTTACTTTGTTCTCATCTCCCCTTTGTCAACAGAAAGCCAGAGAGCCTACAGATTTGTACAGGGCAAGGACTGGGGCTTTAAGAAATTCATACGAAGGGATTTCCTCATGGACGAAGCTAACGGCCTTCTTCCTGATGACAAGCTGACAATATTTTGTGAAGTACGGATTCTTATTCTTTTTTTGTCGTCTCACTGATACTCTGTTGTAGCCCAGTGTCGTGGTTTTGTCATCTCAGTGATACAAGATTGTAGCCCAGTGTCGTGGTTTTGTCATCTCACCAATACCCGATTGTAGCCGAATGTCATGGTTTTGTCATCTCACTGATACTCTGTTGTAGCCCAGTGTCGTGGTTTTGTCATCTCACTGATACCAGGTTGTAGCCCAATGTTATGGTTTTGTCATCTCACTGATACCCGCTTGTAGCCCAATGTCATGGTTTTGTCATCTCACTGATACAAGATTGTAGCCCAATGTCATGGTTTTGTCATCTCACTGATACCCGCTTGTAGCCCAATGTCATGGTTTTGTCAACTCACTGGTAACAGGTTGTAGCCCAGTGTCGTGGTTTTGTCATCTCACTGATACCCGCTTGTAGCCCAATGTCATGGTTTTGTCATCTCACCGATACAAGATTGTAGCCCAATGTCATGGTTTTGTCATCTCACTGATGCAAGATTGAAGCCCAATGTCATGGTTTTGTCATCTCACTGATGCAAGATTGTAGCCCAATGTCATGGTTTTGTCATCTAACTGATACAAGATTGTAGCCTAATGTCATGGTTTTGTCATCTCACTGATACCCGCTTGTAGCCTAATGTCGTGGTTTTGTCATCTCACTGATACCAGGTTGTAGCCATTTGGTTTAGAGGGGGCAGTGGCTCTGTTTTTGTTTTCTTCCCCAGTCCCACACAAGGATAGCAGTAAGTTTTGTGCGTAGTTATTTCTTGAGACCATAGCTGCTGTTTTATATTATTTTTTTTAAATAGAACCCATGCATAGCTTCTTCCATGTGTTTGGTACGGCTATAATGTTTTGTTCGATGATATTTCCAGAGGCCCATTATGGCCCTCTAACACTTAAATTGGATGTGTTCGATCAAAAAATTTCAGATATCACATCCTAGCTGTAAACCACAGCACAGCATTAAACTAACCTTTAAAGAACAAACAAAGAAGAAGCCAAAAGCATTTTTATTTTTCTTGAAGCCTGATCTGATGAGCATCAAAGAAGATTGGCTGGTAAACAGCATCTTGTCTTGGAAACTGGAATATATTGGCCATATCAGTCACCACGGGGAATTGGAAGGAATAATAGAAGAAGACATTCTATCAGGAAAAAGTGGAAGAGGGTGACCTGCACAAAGATGGGTACAGGATATAAGTGAAACCTGGGAATGGGAAGTGTACGAGTTAGGAGAGCTGGGGAGAGTTTCTTTCAGGCTGACTAAAGACATCAACGTTTTGCAGGGGACCAGATACACGATGATGATGATGATACACGGTAGTGGAAGAATTGTTCAGCATATAAAATAAACAGATTTAATTGACTCATTACAAAGGTGGGTGGCCTTGTCTTTGTACAGTGTGAAAGAATTCAGGGGGAATTATTCAGTAACACATTTCATCCGCAGGTGAGTGTTGTGGGTGATACCGTCAACGTCTCTGGCCAGTCCAACTGTACGCCGGTCAAGGTTCCAGAATGTAGACTGAGTGAGGACCTCGGCCAGTTGTTTGACCGTTCCTCTTTTAGCGATGTCACTTTGTGTGTTGGTGGTCGGGAGTTTTTAGCACACAAAGCCATTTTAGCAGGTTTGTGATGTGTATATGTATGTGTTGGGAAAGGTCTTTCTTTTTCTACTTTTTCTTCTGCTTCTTCTTTTTCTTATGCTTTTTCTTCTTCTTCTCCTTCTTCCTCCTCCTCCTTCTTCTGCTTTTTCCTCTTCCTTCCTTCCTTTTTCCTTCTTCTTCTTCCTCATCCTCTCTTTTTTTCTATTACTCTTGCTCCCTTATTTTTCTGCTTCTTTTGAACACCATTGATTGTTGGAAGGCATTTGTGCGTTGAGCTTGTTTGCAGCTGTGTTGGCATCTTTCCAGACGTTACTGTTATACTGTGTTATAGGGAGGCGTGAGAATCACAGCTTGTGGCGATGGCGAGTGTGACTGTTAAAACATGCCCACGTAAAGAAAAATCTTCCACATTAGAGCAATAGGCTTTCAGGGTTGTTGTTGCCATTGTATATATTTACTGTGCCTGTTCTCAGCTCTCCGCCTTTATTGCCATTCCCTTCCTGATTATCCCACTCCATGCAACACTGTCCATGGCAGTTAGTTCTCATGAGTATCTGAATACCTGTATCATTCATGTCTGTTGCAGCAGAGCTTCACTGTTTGCACCTGTCACTAATGCCACACAGCATGGACTATTTTTTTTTAGATCTCTTTTTACGCCTTTAGAGCATCAGGCATATGGGAGGAGCACCCATATTTTTTTACAGACCAATCGGCACTAGGTGGGTAATGTCAGCATTACGCGGCCGTCTTTACTTCCCCAGGACACACATCCAGGTACCCATTTTAGGCTTAGTCGACCCGCGACGCCCCGTGCTATGATAAAAATCCACGCAACCAGCCGTGGGTTTTGATTGCGGTACTTGGAACTAGGAGTCAGACTCGCAACGCCTTAGCATGGACTATAAAAGGAAAATAATACAAGATAAATCTACATTTAATGCTGCTATTGTGCTTTGGAAACAGCCAGTTTTTCTTCTTCTTCTCCTCCTCCTCCTCCTGATGCTGCTCCTGCTTCTTCTTTTTTTTGCATTCTTAGCCCCTATGGTTTGTGGCTGCAGATATCGTCCACCTCCACTATGTGTGATTGGTCTACTCTTTTCATTCAGTGGAGTTTATAGGTTTATCAGTATGTTATCACCGAACCCTCTTGGTCTGCCTCGTAGTCTGTCTTTATTTCTTTCTTTTGTCCATATTCTGCTTTGTGCTACTAGGAATCACAGGTTAATAGATGATCGGTATCTGAGCTAGGGCATGCTCAGTTGCCTGGTTTGCTGTGATGTGTTGGAGTCTCAAGGTATCAGTGAATCCTTCAGTCCTTCTTTCTCTCGGTCGCCCCCTACCTCTTGGTGTTTCTACTTTTATGTTGTTTGCTATTGTTGCTCCCATCAGGGGATTCATTCTCATTAAATCTCTTCTATTTTTGTTTGCTGCCTTTGTCAGACATCTCATTTCACAGGTGGTCACTTTTCTTTTATGTTCTATAGTCAGTGTCCAAGTCTAGCGCTGATAGCACAAGACTGGTAATTTGCAGTTTACTGTCCGCCAGTTCTTTTGTATGCAATTTTTATCTTTCTGCTATATGTCCTTCTCTTTATACATTCTCTTTGAAACTGAGAACCTGTGTATTTACCCTGAACATAGTCTTGCATCGCCGTACTGCTTGTTGTATGTTAACATTTATATCTGAGACGTGGTTAAGGCCTTATGGGAGCATGTGTACAATTCAGAAGCAGCAAGTGGATCATGACTGTCCTGTGTGAGGGGTGCAGCGAGGAGTTTCCAGGGGATCTAGCTGAAACTCGACGCTCAGAGGAAAGGCGATATGGACATATAATCAGACTGCTACTGGCGCCTTGGTATTGAATCTCTGAGCTGGCTGCTGGAGCTTGGGACAGAGCACTTTTGGGAATGCTCTGAATGTTGTGATGTCGGTTCTTGAATCAACCCAACGCTGAGAATCATTCAGTCAGGTGGCATCTCGGCAGTAAAGCTGGCTGCAAAAGATCTCCAGCTCCGTGTCTCTCATCACTTTTTATACATCCAACACTGGTGTTCATCCATCTCAAGGCCTCAGTGTAAGACAGGCCTACGAGCCCAGTTTGTGACCCTTTGAAAATAATGTGCGTTTGTTTGGTCTCTTCGTGTTCTTGTTAGTGGGGTGGGGAAGATAATTTAACCACGTTCGAACCTGCTGGGAACAGCTTCGGATTATAATTGTGGTCTGTTTTTTTTTTTGGGTGGGGGGAGCACCAAGTTTAATGTCTTAAATTGTTTTTTGTGCCAAGAATTGTGGCATCTTGTCCCTAACCATGTGATCTTGTAACTCTGAACATATCTGAGCCTCCATTCTGATCCTGTTGTCCGGATGAGACTTCCGCCTTTTGTGTCAATATTTTGGTCATTTGGCTGTGATTATGTCACGGGTAATTGTGGCTGTATTCCTGTTATCCCATGTGATGGTCCTCTTCTGGAGGTATTGTGTACTGTCCTCTTTCCTTGAGATTTCATCCTCATTTATAGTCTACTCGAGTCTTTGTCTGTTGTATAGTCCTTAATGGGTTGGTCCTAATAAGGTTCCAAACTCTCCTCCGAGCGTCCCCACAAGTATTAACCCTACCAGACCTGAGGCCTTGAACCTAACTGCCCCCTATACCTGAGCTCCTGGGCATTAACACAACAAAAATCAACATGATATACAAAACTATTAATTACATGCAAACAAGTGGTTAGAAAAAGTTGAAACTTGGAGACATTGTAGAAAATAGGTTAACCTTTCATCTAGCCCCAATATTCCACCTTTGTATGCCAATCCACCCAGCAGGATCAGCCTTGTTTCACAAAGTGAGCACTAGATGTTGCTGTTTCAGGGACACGCCCCTTTCTCCTACTATCGATCTGTTTCTAGATTTATAATTTTCAAGATTCTCCTCATTATTCGAGCTCTCTCACTTTAACTGTGAACGTATTCTTCATGAAATTATGACTCCGTACAGTCTGAATAAATCAAAGTATCGATTACCTGTTGGACTGAAAAACCTAGACCTACTTCACTTCCTGTCAAAGTGCTTGGTTCATCAGCCGCTCGTTTTATTGTGAATTTTCTGAATTTTTTCACGTAAAACAACACAAATTTAATCCAAACACATGCGAGCGGACATCTAGGAAGACTATCCACGGGGTCTGATGACAATTGGCTAGTTAGTCTGTGACGCACCTTTTTCACGTACTACGCAAATAGCTGAAAATTAGGGACAGCAGTATAGCGCAAGGTTAATAAATTCCCGGAAAATAGGGCCAGCGGTCTGGTAGGGTTAAAGCTGTCACCAGTACTGATTTGTACTGCACACACTGACCTTATAGTTTTTAAATTCTGAATGTCGTTACTGCCACTATAGATGTTAGTCAACCATCTCTTCCTTTTATCCTCCCACTTATATAGCTGCCTACCTCTTGCTGGCTCGCCTTCACCATGTCACTTCCATATTTGAGAATTAATATTCTTAGAGAAATGTCAATAAACAATGTGTGTTTTTACCTCTCTCTTTTTTTTTTCACAACAGCAAGGTCCCCTGTATTTAATGCTATGTTCGAGCACCAAATGACAGAAAGCAAACAGGTGTGGTGCTTTTCATCATCTTCTTCATTGTCTACATATCATCATCACCAAATAAATCTTTGTCATCCAAATATCAGTCACAATCATATACCTATCAGCCACCACCATTATCTACATATCAGTCGTCACCTAAGTATCAGTCATCATCATCTAGAGATAGTCATCACCATCTACATATCAAGTCATTGCCTAAGTATCAGTCATCATCATCTAGAGATAGTCATCACCATCTACATATCAGTCATCATCTACATTATCAGTCATAATCGCCGGCTACAAATCAGTCGTCACCTAAGTATCAATCATCATCATCTAGAGATCAGTCATCACCATCTACATATCAGTCATCTACATATCAGCCATTATCTGTTAATCGGCCGTCATCTACATATCAGTCATCTACATATAAATCAGCAAATCAGTGATCATCATCATCTACTTTGGAATCATCACGATATAGAAAATGCTTATCATCAACTACCAATAGGTCATCATTACCATTTACAAATCAGCCATAAAAACTGTTATACCTATTACCATAATCCACATACCAAATCCCTGTATGACTTCTGGGGCCCCATTTTAGTGGGTGGGTGAAGTGGGGGGTCGACCTACTGCATTTCAAGCTAGTGTGTCATAAAAGCTGACTAATTAGGGGTTTAGATGTGTTGGGTTAAGAGAAGCAGATATCACAGCCTTGCTTTGAACCACAACACAGTGTGCCAACTCTTACGTGAACACAAAGGAAAAAGTTATAAAGAAGAAATATCTCGAGGTTGTGGAAATGTTTCTGAGAAAGAAAAAGACAGGATATTTTGGCTTGGTGAAAAAGAAAAGACAATTTGCCAGTTCTTGAATGAGAGGAAAACAGCAATCTGATTAAGGGAGATTGAATGCAGACGGTTGAGAATTATTTTACAGAAGTAAACTGGAAACCTTGGCGACAGCTGGCAAGCTTGATGGGGGGAAAAAGCAAAGGGGAGACAAATATAACTTCCTGTATCGCTTGAATGGAAAAGAATGCTGACCTGATTCTCCACTTTCGGTGACTACCCGTGTTGAGAAAGAATAGACCAGTTACCCGAGAACATGCAAACATTCATATCATAAAATGTGATTATGAGTCTTCCCTCCAAAGTCAGAGTTGAGGCATGGAACCAACAGCCTGCATATAAATGAGCCAGATCTGTAAAACGGATGAACATATAAAACTCAAGTTCTGGAATAAGACCAAAGTCCAGAACTTTCTGCTGGAGTTAACAGCCGGTTAGTGCTAACAACAAGAAGGGTTCCAGTGACACACCCCCACCCCCCGTACATTTTTGTTGTTGTTGACATGGCACATTATGATGACGATGCTCTTAGTGTTCATGGGCTAGAAAGTCTGGTTGTACCTCCACTCATTGCTGGTTGTACCTCCGCTCTTTGCTGGTCGTACCTCCACTCATTGCTGGTCGTACCTCCATTCATTGCTTGTCGTACCTCCACTCATTGCTGGTTGTACCTCCACTCATTGCTGGTCGTACCTCCATTCATTGCTGGTCGTACCTCCACTCATTGCTGGTTGTACCTCCACTCATTGCTGGTTGTACCTCCGCTCATTGCTGGTTGTACCTCCACTCATTGCTGGTTGTACCTCCACTCATTGCTGGTTGTACCTCCACTCATTGCTGGTCGTACCTCCACTCATTGCTGGTTGTACCTCCGCTCATTGCTGGTTGTACCCTCATTGCTGGTTGTACCTCCACTCATTGCTGGTTGTACCTCCACTCATTTGTCATTGCCTCCGTACCTCATTCATTGCTGGTCGTACCTCCACTCATTGCTGGTCGTACCTCCACTCATTGCTGGTTGTACCTCCCTCATTGCTGGTTGTACCTCCACATATTGCTGGTTGTACCTCCACTCATTGCATTGCTGGTCGTACCTCCACTCATTGCTGGTTGTACCTCCATCATTGCTGGTCGTACCTCCACTCATTGCTGGTTGTACCTCCACTCATTGCTGGTCGTACCTCCACTCATTGCTGTACCTCCACTTATTGCTGGTTACCTCTCCACTCATTGCTGGTTGTACCCTCATTGCTGGTTGTACCTCCACTCATTGCTGGTCGTACCTCCACTCATTGCTGGTCGTACCTCCACTCATTGCTGGTCGTACCTCCACTCATTGCTGGTTGTACCTCCACTCATTGCTGGTTGTACCTCCACTCATTGCTGGTTGTACCTCCACTCATTGCTGGTCGTACCTCCGCTCATTGCTGGTCGTACCTCCACTCATTGCTGGTCATACCTCCACTCATTGCTTGTACCTCCACTCATTGCTGGTCGTACCTGGTTGTACCTCCACTCATTGCTGGTTGTACCTCCACTCATTGCTGGTTGTACCTCCACTCATTGCTGGTCGTACCTCCACTCATTGCTGGTCGTACCTCCACTCATTGCTGGTCGTACCTCCACTCATTGCTGGTCGTACCTCCATTCATTGCTGGTCGTACCTCCTGGTCGTACCTCTCACTCATTGCTGGTCGTACCTCCACTCATTGCTGGTCGTACCTCCACTCATTGCTGGTCGTACCTCCATTCATTGCTGGTCGTACCTCCACTCATTGCTGGTTGTATCTCCACTCATTGCTGGTTGTACCTCCACTCATTGCTGGTTGTACCTCCACTCATTGCTGGTCGTACCTCCACTCATTGCTGGTCGTACCTCCACTCATTGCTGGTCGTACCTCCACTCATTGCTGGTCGTACCTCCACTCATTGCTGGTCGTACCTCCACTCATTGCTGGTCGTACCTACCTCCACTCATTGCTGGTCGTACCTCATTGCTGGTCGTACCTCCACTCATTGCTGGTTGTACCTCCACTCATTGCTGGTTGTACCTCCACTCATTGCTGGTCGTACCTCCACTCATTGCTGGTCGTACCTTCACTCATTGCTGGTTGTACCTCCACTCATTGCTGGTCGTACCTCCACTCATTGCTGGTCGTACCTCCACTCATTGCTGGTTGTACCTCCACTCATTGCTGGTTGTACCTCCACTCATTGCTGGTCGTACCTTCACTCATTGCTGGTTGTACCTCCACTCATTGCTGGTCGTACCTCCACTCATTGCTGGTCGTACCTCCACTCATTGCTGGTGTCCACTCTCCACTCATGCTGTTGTACCTCCACTCATTGCTGGTGTACCTGTACCTCCACTCATTGCTGGTCGTACCTCCACTCATTGCTGGTCGTACCTCCACTCATTGCTGGTCGTACCTTCACTCATTGCTGGTCGTACCTCCACTCATTGCTGGTCGTACCTCCATTCATTGCTGGTCGTACCTCCACTTATTGCTGGTTGTATCTCCACTCATTGCTGGTTGTACCTCCACTCATTGCTGGTCGTACCTCCACTTATTGCTGGTTGTATCTCCACTCATTGCTGGTTGTACCTCCACTCATTGCTGGTCGTACCTTCACTCATTGCTGGTTGTACCTCCACTCATTGACTTTAGATTCAGGATTTGTCTTGACTTGTTCCAGAATTTGAGTGGCTTGCACATTTTTTTTCCTCCTCCACATATCTAGCTTACTTGTATGCAGACTGTTGGTCTCTTGCCTCCCAGGCAGATGCTCTGCTTACTTTGAAGGAACCATCTATAATTAGTTACCGCCTATGACATGCGTAATAGGGAAGCAGTGGGTCTATCCTTTTGTTTCCTCCAACAATGGGGCCCCGGAAACCCCGCAAGATGCTACTAGATGGTGATTTATAATGTGACTCCATGATGTTTTCAGAATCGAGTAGACATACAAGACGTAGACCATGAAGTGATGAGGGAGATGCTGAGATTTACCTACACAGGCAAAGCACCAAACCTTGACAAAATGGCAGATGACCTCTTAGCTGCTGCTGATAAGGTTAAAGAGTTGTGTGTTTGTGTGTGTCCCTCTGTTTCATGTGTGTTCTTGTGTGTCCCCCTCTATTTCCTGTGTGTTCTTGTGTGTCCCCCTCTATTTCCTGTGTGTTCTTGTGGATGTGTTCATGTCCCCTTCTATCTCCTGTGTGTTCTTGTGGATGTGTGTGTCTGTCTATTTCCCGTGTGTTCTTGTGTATTTGTGTGTGTTCACCTCTATTTCCTGTGTGTACGTGTATGTGTCCCCCTCTTTTTCCTGTGTTCTTGGGTAGGTGTGTCTGCCCCACCCCCCCCCCATTTCCTGTGTTCTTGAGTAGGTGTGTGTGTGTCCCCCCTCTATTTCCTTGTGTTCTTGAGTAAATGTGTGTGTCCCCCCTCTATTTCCTTGTGTTCTTGAGTAGGTGTGTGTGTCCCCCCTCTATTTCTTTGTGTTCTTGTGTGTCCCCCTTTTTTTTCCTGTGTGTTCTTGTGTATTTGTGCATTACTCTTTTTTTTTTCTGGTGTGAGTTAAGTAAAGCAGGGTTCTTCCACCAATATGCTGCGGAAAAGTCAACGTGGACAGCCAGAAATTATTGCCTAATCCTGTAATAGAATAAGGTAGTTAGTTTTTCTTTTCTAGAATTGTAGGCTGTAGGATTTAAACATCGGGGATGAAAATAAAAACAGGTTCATGCCCCAGAAACTGTTCAACCACACAGATGTCTGAGCAGCTGTATTGGCTGAAAGTTGTACATTTGTGACATGGAATTTAACCAATTTACTGCCATCTACATATGTTTTGTGTTTTGTTAGCTGTTGGATGTGTGGCAAACAAATTTCCCTGTTGTGGTAGGCTGCGGGGGATGGAATGGTTGAGAAACACCGAAGTTAAGGACCGAAGTCGATGAACAGTCAGAACATTGCGCTAAAATGTACAGCGGGTGAGTGCTAAGAAGAGGGGAAAAAATTATTGGCCGTCTTTTTGATGCTGTATTATCATCATAATCAAGTTTACCCCGTGTGGGTTCCGGGGCCCCATTGTGGGGAAAACAAGAATAGACCCACTGCCTCCCCAAAAAGCATGTCGTAAGAGTCGACTAATTGGTGAGCTTCCTTTGAATTCGGAGTGCATCCGCCTGGAGAGGCAAGGAACCAACAGTCTGTATTCAAGATAATGAGATCTGTAAAACTGATGCACACGCAACACTCAGGTTCTGGAGCAGGACTGCAGTTAAGTAGTGGACGAGCAACCAGAACTTTCCGCCAGAGTGTACAGCTGGTGAACGCAAAGAAGAAGAAGACAATCAAGTGCCTTGCATGCTGGTGAAGGCATTCATGCATCTCCATCATTTATCCGTGCCACTGTCTTGAGCCATCCATCATCATTTCTAATGGTCTGCCCTCTGCCTCTTCTGCCAGTGATCTTTCCTTGCTGTATTGTATTTGACTGTTATTCTTCATGCTTTTCAGTACGCTCTTGAAAGGTTAAAAGTGATGTGTGAAGAAGCATTATGTTCGAACCTCACAATAGAAAATGTCTGTGACATTCTTGTTCTGGCAGACCTGCACAGTGCGGAACAGTTGAAGACACACGCTATTGATTTTATAAACAGGTAGGTTGTTGTATTTTAGAGAAACCCTATATGGTGTTTCCATCCTAATATGGGATGCAATTTTTTTTGTTATTTTAAAGCCCCCTTCTGATTGTTGTCGGGGGCCCTAATATAACCTAACGGTTGAACTGGGATTCTGGGACTTGCTCCCAGGTGATTCTCATCTGAATGGGGGCGCTATGTGTCACTGGGTGTTTATCACCGTGCGTTACCTGATACATAGATTTTTGTGGCCCGTTTTGTTGTATCAGCCAGATCCCCTGGTTACTCCCTGCTTTACCATTATCTTAAGGTGGAATGAACCTAGATTTGACTTGGATTGAAGCGTGGTTTGACTTGAAATGAACCTTGGTTCGGCTTGGAAAGAACCTTGGTTTACACCGACTTTAACGTCTAGGGTTGACAACACAAACGCCGCTCAGCTTCTTGGTATATGCTATCAGTTTATTCTGGTCCATGTATTCAACATGCTTAAACAATTATTCTCAATTCTATCACTCGCGACATATTCGAACACTAACCATTCGCGCAACATAAAGACGACATCTTCAAATACTACAACCGTCTTCTCTGACTTCTGTTGATCAACTGACCACGAGTCTAGCTCGGGCCTCCCCTCGCTTACTCCACCGGACACAATTATCTTGTGCTGTCACTTGTAGCACGGACTTCCTGCTTGCCACAATGTACTCGTGGAGACCATGCAAAGCAGGGTCATCACACTCGGACGAGCAGGGTCATCACAAAGATTAATAATAATTATAGTGGCTTGCTGTCCAATATGGTGGATAGACGAGGCAGTCTTTTTAGCTTCTGGCTGGGTTTGCAGTTTCAACCTAAGGACTACCGTTTTTTTTGTGTGTTGCCTTTTACTACTGAGTCAGGCACTGGGATCTGTGTGTATTTTGCATCGAATGTCTTTGATTTGTGCCCCCGGCGGTTTTGTTTGGATATTCAGGAAAATGGCAGGTAGCCAGTTTGCATTTGAACTGACCTAATGCCTTATGCAGTAATTTGCTTTGTATTTGAACCCTATCATATCATCAGATGGAAAATGTGTGACAGAGATTAAAAGCAGAATAGGTCAACTGAAAGCTGCATTTCAAAATTGCAATAAATCGCTCTCATTTAATGTCAGAAACTTTAGATTCAGAAAATGGTGCGTGGCTTGTCGCCGCAATATTGGTGGTGCCCTTATGTGATTAAAATTGATTGCGTGGCCAACTGCTGATCTGTTAGCGACTTCTGCTACCGTCGATGATGAACTGCATTTCTAAGGTCAAACTGTTTGTGTTAACACTTCTTATGGCTACCGTATGCTTTTAATGCGTGTGTATGCTAGTGCATTTGCTGAGACAGCAGTCTGTCAATCTTTCTACAAGGGACTGCAACGAACATTCTGTGTGTTTTTCGTTGGCACAGGAGCGGAGCAACTACGGGGTGACTAGTTTGCTATGAAGCCGAAACTAAGATTGCCAAGATTACCATATCAAAAAGAGGGTGCTAAAATGTTAGTAACATAGAACCTGTTCTGTAATCTTGGAATGTCAGTGAACAAATTAGGAAGAATTTGGAAGCAACAGAGAGGTGGTTTCTAGAACGAATGTTACCAATACCTTGGACGGCCAGAGTAACTAACAACGATTACTTTAAAGAAGCTAATAAAAGTAGATTTCTATATACAACTATAAGAAAGAGACAAACACTGTTCTTTGGCCACATAATGAGAACAGAGACATTGGAGAACATTGTGACAACTAGAAAGATCAGTGGAAAAAAGGAGTGGAGGCAGACCAAGAGAGATGATGCTGGATGGGCTGAAACAATGGCATGGAGAGCTGTTCCAGGCAACCAGGGATCATGATCTGTGGAGACGCATGAGTGCCTACGCCAGTTGGCAGGGCACATGATAATGATGATTTAAACCCTAAAGCAGATGTTAATGAGAGGCTACAGGTGCTGGACTGGACTGCGTCCATGATTTTGAGTTGATTGCACAGGACAGGCTGGAGGGATAGACTGCCAGCCCTATGTGACGTATAATTGCACAACAGGAGCCCACTTAGCGTGACTGACAACTTGCTTCCATTAATGACAGATTGCAATACTGTTAATGTTAGCATCTCAAACAACTGCCCCTCCCTGTGTGGGTTCCTTGGCCCTGTTATAGGGAAAACAAGAATAGATCCACTGATCCACATAGATCTACTAATTGGGAGCTTCCTTCGAAGTCGGAGTGCCTCTGCCTGAGAGGCAAGGAACCAGCAGTCTGGATACAAATAAGGCAGATCTGTAATTCGGATGCACATGCAACACTCAGGTTCTGGAACAGGACTGCAGTCCAAAAGAGGATGAACAACCAGATTCTAAAACCGATGAACGCGAAGAAGAAGAAGAAGAGCAGTGATGGGTTGCCCCCTTTGCTGTGTTATTAAAACCTCAATGCCTACTATCATTTCTAATAATAATATTGAGAATTGTATTTTCGCAGCCATGCAACCGACGTCATGGAAACCACAGGCTGGCGGTCGATGATCCAAGCTCAGCCTCACCTAATTGCAGAAGCATTCCGGGCCCTAGCAAGTCAGCAAAGTCCGCCACTTGGTCCACCTCGGAAGCGAATCAAACAGGCTTAACCAACTTCGTCTGCTGTTCTTTCTTTCACCCTTTCAACTCATAATGAAAGATCCACTTATCGAGAGGAGGAATTTGTGGAACAAAATAAGTAGAAACACTATTCATATGTGTATTTCATGTTTTGCACAGCCTGTACAGAAAAAAAGACATAACGTAAATATATCTACACTAATCATCATTACGTGCCGGATCATCAACCCAGTGAATGGTGACAGATAACTGTGTTGGACAAGCCCGAGTGAGGCATCATCTCTCTACCTCAAGGAACAAGACAGCTGCAGTGTACTCATTTCAGGGGACGGTTGCCTGGCTGTATCCATTTTCAAAAAGTTAACTCTTTTGGTAGCAGGGATCCCACCACAAGTTGATTTTGAATTACTGTATTTTTCCATGTGTGAGACGATATGTTTTCCCAAATTGTTAAAGTTAAAAATTGGGAGTCATCTAATTTTAGGCTTAAAATAAAAGGGGGTATCTTATTCGTAGAAAAATATGGCAATTCTTATTATATAGTAGCGCAGATCCTACCACAAGATGATTTATGATTAATTTAAGTTCTTGGGTACCGAATGAGTTAACAATGACACGGTTACCTTGTTAATGTTTTCCCTACTTACTTTGTGCTAGGAGTAACCCAACAGGACACAGTCTATGATTAGGAAGCTCAACAAAGGGAAAGCAGCAATTCTGACTTTTTATCAAAGGTTGGACGTTGTAATGGTCGGCTTTTAATTTGTTGCTGCCCTTGCAAAATAAAGGAAAATGAAAAATGCTCAGTAGAAAGAAGGGACAAAGTTCGCAACCACAAAATACATCATGGCATCAGTACAATATTGTGTGGGCTCCAGAGCCCCATTGTGTGTGTGTCTATGGGATAGACCCTAGTGATGTTCAAACCTCGACTAATGACATTTATTTAGTGTCATCCAAATATTCAAAATAGAAGAGCACGCTACGTGGTGGTCGGGATACATAGGTGCTTTATTAATATCCTACCCCAAACGGGAAATCCACAGGTCACGGGACAGTGTAATATTTTAGGGGGTGGTAGATAGGCTGCATGCAGTCGTGGGACCTAGGCTGCACTCTCTCGTGGGACGTAGGTAGGTTGGGGTTAGGGCTATTTCTAGATGTTTTGGGGGTCTTTAAAAGCCATCTGGGGTAGGATATTAATAAAGCACCGGATACATGTGAAAGAAAGAGCCAGTCAGCCAGTCATCTTCTAGGTTTGCCCTAAAGGTCGATTAGCATGTTGTGTGTAGTTTACAGCTAGACTACCATACCTTTTGGTCCAAAACAAATGATGATTTTGGCAACTCCTTTACTAGGGCCCTTTTCCACGTCTTTCAGTCGTATTGGGTATATAGCGCTAGACCTATATTTTATAGACGAAATGGCACTTAGTGGGCGATGTGGTCAGCATCACGCCGGCCACCTTTACTTCCCAGGTCTGTACCTGGTACCCACTCAAGGATGGGAGCCAAGGTTATTTTTGAAAAGTTTTGCCTCAGTGAGAATCTGAACCCATTATATTCCCATCTGCAGTGAGCGTCTAGCTGCTAGACCACGAAGGCTCCCACTCCTTCACTTATGGGTTTTTTTTTTTTAAACTTAAAAATGGGACCCCAGATTCCACACAAAGAAAGAGCTAGTCACATATCATTCTTTGCTCTGTGTGGGTTCCGGGGCCCTAATATAGGGAAAACAAGAATAGACCCACTGCCTACCCAAAAGTATGTCGTAAGAGTCGACTAACTGGGAGCTTCCTTCGAAGTCAGATTGCATCTGCCTGAGAGGCAAGGAACCAACAGTCTGCACACAAATGAGATCTGTAAAATGGATACACACGCAACAATCAGGTTCTGAAACAGGACTGCAGTCCAGATGTGGATGAACAACCAGAACTTTCCGCCGGAGTATACAGCTGGTGAACGTGAAGAAGAAGATAGCATTCTTTGACATGACTTGGGTGAATGTGAAAAAACTATTGCGCCGTTCTCTGAATTGAATAATCCAGTATTCTTCTTCGCATTTGCTGGCTGTAAACTCCAGCGGAAAGTTCTGGTTGTTCGTGACTTCTAGACTCTGGTTTGCCGCCAGGCAGATTTGGTGTGTGCACATCTGTTTTACAGAACTGACTCATTTGTATGCAGACTGTTGGTTTATTGTCTGTCAAGCAGGTGCGCTTGACTTTAAAGGAAGCTCCCAATTAGTTGACTCTTTTGGGTAGGCAGTAAGCCTCTTTTTGTTTCCCCCACAGTGGAGGCCCAGAACCCACACTGGGAAAATACCTAATTAATGGGTCTGATTTTTTTTAAACCTTAAAATGGGGCCGCAGAACCCAGACAAGGAAAATGTCAGTCACATGTCATTCTTTGATGATTGGAGCTGCAAGAAATGTGTTTAAAACCTTTGGTTTAAAAACCCAAAATTGATAGGTAACTAAAGTTAAATTTTTCATTTCTCCTTTGTGCCTTAAGCATTTGGGAGTTTCTCCAGAAGGATAACTTGACATAGTGATGTTTTTTTGCTGCACATATGATAAAGATGTGAATTATTTGTACATTTGTCATTTACTGCAGCAGTTTAAGTAAGTTTTTCAAGCTAAAAAAATTACCTTCTCTGTCCTTAAAGTCAAGCTAAAAAATTACCTTCTCTGCCCTAAAAGTAAAAGTCATAGGTGAAGGGCAGTTATTTTTCAGGATTGAACATGTGAATTGTAGTTGTCTGTTTAAATAGTTGATACAGTTGTGTTACAGTTTGGTGTATAGGTCAGAAGTGTATTGTTTCTGCTGGAGCTAGATAAATATTGCAAACAAACCATCTGTTTGTGTGGAATTGCCTCTCTCATTACAAGCTATATTCATCATTCTCATGTACTGTCATACATGTCACATAGGGCTCACAGTCTATTCCTCCATTCCATTCTAGATGTTTCCCATTTTAGTGCCTGTTTGGTGACTGGTTTTTTTCCCCATTTTAGTTGTGGGGGGCTGCATGGTCTCGAGACATGAAATCTGCATCAAGCGCTAGAGGTTCTGGGTTCAATCCCCTGTAAGAGTTGGGATTTTTTCACATGGACTTGGACTTCTAGTAATTCCAGTTGTCTCTGGGTAGTGAGGCCGGATGCCCGTGTGTATTGTTGCGCACGTTAAAAAAAAATCCCTTGGCAGTCAGAAATTGAAAAGAGTAGTCTAACAGAGCTGTCGAGGCAAAAATTTTGAGTTATAAATCTACCCAAAGAATTTCAGAATCCTCGCCGGTGCTACAGAGCCTGTGTACTGTGCTAAACTTCTTTAGACTCAGACTTGAGTTAGAAGAAGAACAGAACATTTATGGGTTACTACCCGTGTGCCATAATGTTTATGGTGTTCAAACCTAGAATGCTAGTCCTTTGGTGATCCTTCGTTTGCTTTGCTTCTTGGGTTATGCCAAGTATATCCCGCCACCTTTGTCTTATAGCTGTTTTTACCAGCAGCTGTCCAGACATTTCTTGAATGTCTTCGCTCTTCTCTAATTCTTTCCATTTCTTTTTCGTCTTTGCATTCACCAGCTGTAAACTCTGGCAGAAGAGTTCTTATTTGTCCACTTCTGGGCTTTGCTGTTGTTTCAGAACTTGAAATTTGCGTGCACATCCGTTTTTTTAAATCTAGCTCTTTTGTATTCAGACTGTTGGTTCCTTGCTCTCAGGCGGATGCACTCCAACCTCGAAGGGTACACTCCTAGTTGACTTTTACCATATGCTTGTTAGTGACGTGGTTAGTGTGTTCTTTTTCCCCCCTGAGAAATGGGTCCTGGAACCCACAAGGGACATCCCATTTACATTTGCTGTATTACTTCCTAGAATATTTTAAACGTCTAGGTCACCACAGAATAAACCCAGCATGCAAGCAAGTGCTTCTTCTTATCCATTTTCACCTTCTCTTTTGCTGCTTTAGGTGTCGAGGAAGATACACGGCTCTGCTTCTTGCCCCTCTGGTTGCCTCGACCATAGACACAACATGCTGTTGTATAGTTTCCTTGATGTTATCTTTCCATCGTGTTCTTGGTCTACCTCATGAATCACATAAACAAGTTCACCTGCATCTGTGGCCAGGGTAGTTAAAGAACCTCTAACCAAGCATTAAATATACGGTGCTAACCCATAGATTTTAAGACCAGTTGGCATTCTCCTGGTGATGTTAGTATTGTACTGGCTGCCTTAACTTCGCAAGAAACTTTCTGCTACTTTTTTTTAGGCTGGGTCGATCTAAGACCCCAGGTCCCTGGGAGAAAAACTTAAGTTTAGAGAATGTGTTTTTTTTTCAACAAAAGAATTGAAGGTGCTTGGGAATGCTAACATGGAAAACTAGCTGTGCGCATTTCTTCTTCTACCTTCACCCTTAAAGGGTCGGTTTTCAGCTAGGCTGTGATATCTGCACGTTTCAGCAAACTCCTTTTACGAGATGCTTGTTTGTGGTGCAGTAGATTCCCCCCCCCTCCCCTTCCACCCCCAATTGGGCACTGGAACCCGCATGGGGGTGTGTTGTTTGATGTGCTAAAAAAGTTGATAAAGAAAGCACTTTTCTTGGTACATGCAAAGAGTATAATATTCTTGGTAGCGTAACTTCTCCCTGATGGAAGTCGAGACTGTAATCAGGAGTTGATGAAGAAAGAGAAGTTGAAACATAAAAAGTTGATGAACCATGAAGAGTAGTTGAAGAAGTACAGCAAAAGAAAAACCTGTGTACGTTTGTAATTCTACAATTTGCCTTTGACTTCTGCAAGTTATACTTCTTCTTTTGTCATCTCACTGATACCAGGTTGTAGCCCAGTGTCATGGTTTTGTCGTCCCACTTATACCAGGTTGTAGCCCAGTGTCATGGTTTTGTCGTCTCACTGATACCAGGTTGTAGCCCAGTGTCATGGTTTTTGTCGTCCCACTTATACCAGGTTGTAGCCCAGTGTCGTGGTTTTGTCGTCCCACTTATACCAGGTTGTAGCCCAGTGTCGTGGTTTT